GGTAGGATACAGGTGGGTCTTGCTGGCTAGTGTCTTTCATTGCTGGGATGCAGATGGTTCTTGCTGTCCAGCATCTTTCATTGCTAAAATGTAGGTGGCTCTTGCTGTCTAGTGTCTTTCATTGGTAGGATGCAGGTGGCTCTTGCTGTCTAGTGTCTTTCATTGGTAGGATGTAGGTGGCTCTTGCTGTCTAGTGTCTTTCATTGGTAGGATGTAGGTGGCTCTTGCTGTCTAGTGTCTTTCATTGCTAGGATGTAGGTGGCTCTTGCTGTCTAGTGTCTTTCATTGCTGGGATACAGATGGTTCTTGCTGTCCAGCATCCTTCATTGCTAAAATGTAGGTGGCTCTTGCTGTCTAGTGTCTTTCATTGCTAGGATGCAGATAGCTCTTGCTGTCTAGTGTCTTTCATTGCTAGGATGCAGATGGCTCTTGCTGACTTAAAGCTTCATTTGTATTCTTTAAAAAATAACAAACATGTCATACTTACCATACAAAACCATTTGCACAGAGCAGCCCCGATCCTCTTCTCCTCAGGTCCCACACCGATGCTACTGGCTCTCCCCTCATGACCCGTGCCCCCAATAGCAAGTTGCTTGCTATGAGGGCATTGGTGCATGCTTGCTCCTGTGCCCTGTTCTATACGTCTATAGGACACATAGAGCTGTGGCTCGGCTCAGCACTGCCCCCCTCGCTCTCTCCTTATTAGCTCACTGGCTGTGATTGACAGCAGTGGGAGCCAATGGCTACTTCCACTGTCTCAGCCAATGAGGAGAGAGAGATCCAGGACATCCAAGGCTCTTGTGCATATTGCTGGATTGAGAGGGGGCTTAGGTGAGTATTAAGGAGGGCTGTGGGGGGAACAGCACACAGAAGGTTTTTTACCTTTATGTATAGAATGTATGATGGTGAAAAACCTTCAAAATTTACAACCACAAAGGCAGCTATAAGGGCCAACATGTTAACTCAATGGTGGGCAATCAAACTGAATACACATTGATATTTACATTTTGGCCCAGAGCAGGCCAATCTGCTTTGGTACCCTGTATGTATGTGAACATTAGCACAAAAGTGTACATTTGTACAGAATAAAATACAGTCCATACATAGACCCCAGTTGTAGAGTTCGATCTCAATGCAGAGCAAGTTTACTGATCTTTATACAGCTGTTGCATAAGCCAATAGAAAACAACACACCCGTGACCAACTTATTGTACTATTATTATACAGTTTTACAGTATAGCGCCAACAGTTGGTGTAACACATCCTTTATTACAGGTAGTTTTATACTGCCTACAATTTATGCAGTACTTTACATATTGTACTTCTACATTAGCTTACAAAATACCTGTAAAAACACAAACACTGTAGTGATAAAAATGCTGCATTTTTTATGGTCTTGTGCATGACCCCTAAATATACTCCCAAGTGAGTGCCGGATAGGATAACACAACTAAAATGCTATTACTTTCAGTTGCGTACAAACATACAGACAACTGTAAAAAAAAAAAATATGGAGGGAACTTAAAGAACATGCAAACCTAACATTTCATTTTCCTGATATGTGTCTGCTGTACCAAGTACTTGTATGAACAAGTATCCTGTTTTCTTTGTATTCCTTCCTTTGTGTGAAATCCCTGGTGTTCCTGCCAGTCCCTCTGCTTTCCTATTAAAAACTTACCACACTAAGCATGGGAGCAGAGAATGGTCCGTTCTCTAGCTGTGCTGAGAACTCAGCCTTCTCTCTTCTAATGATCTGACTTGTGCTGATATGCCTGCCTGCACAGCCATTCACTGGGAAGACTAGGTTACCACTGTTTCTCCTCCCCCAGCTCTCTAAGCTTCTCATGCAGCTGAGAATGGAGGATATGTGATCACTTATAAAAAAGGGGGAAAAAGGTATTTATAATGTTTTTTACATGTATACACAAATGTTTTGTCTTTCACTTCTATTTTTAACTGAATGGGTTGTTTTACAAGGTGAGGGTTTACAGTCACTTTAAATTAGTTATCTTCCCAATCAATTACATCTATGAGTAGCTTTTTTATCTGGTGTTTGAGGCTCATGGACATGAGTTCTCATTTCTTTGCATCCGGGAGACATGGGGGGGTTTATTTACTAAAGCTAGAGAGTCCAAAATCAGACTCCCTTCTGCATAGAAACCAATCAGCTTCTAACCTCAGCTTGTTCAATGAAGCTTTGGCAATGAAACCTGGAAGCTGATTAGTTTCTATGCAGAAGTGAGTCTGATTTTGCACTCTCCAGCTTTAGTAAATAAACCCCATGATGTCATCACGACACCAGAACACTCATCACTCAACACAATGGCAGATGGACCCATTTAGCCGCTGTATGAACGCTATAGAGAAACCATCTAAAAATAGAGTTTTTGCAGAAGAAAAAAAGTCATGGAATTTATTTACTTCATCAAAATAATTCAGATATTTTCCACTGTGAACCGATAACGTCCGAAAAACTGTTTGTTTTGCGTTCTTTCAAACCGCATTCCGCCAGATTACATGCTTGTTATTACAAAACACGCGGACGGTTCCAGAAAAATGTCAGTGTATTTGTAGCAAACGCTCCGGAGCCGTCGCCTCTCGTGAAGAATGTTCGAATGGAAAATACAAAGGAATAGAAACATTCTGACAAGTGTGGATAATGATCACATCACATCGCAAGTTTGGCAGCGAGCTGGCCCTTATTCGGATAACAAGGGCGTAATTAGTTTATTGCAAAATCTGTTGTTCATTGAAGTGATGAATTGAGTATCTGGAGCTGAAGTAGGATTCTTTGAATTTGTTTATTTAAAGAGTTCTAATTTATTTATATAAGGAAAACAAAATAAAACTTTTTTTTTTTTTTTTTTGCCTGAATTGGAATGTCTGCAGAAAAGTTGAAATGTCATGTTTTACCAGCTTGTGTTCAGAGGTGGCCTGATGTACCTGGCAGAGATCTGGTCTGGAGAAGGGAAGGAACGGCTTGGGAGGGTCATTAAAGAATGATTTTTAATCTCCCTTCACTTCGCAATATTGCTGTAAAAGTTTTTCTTCCATTCAGCAATTTATAAACGACTGATATAGAAAACGAAAATGTCCAATCTGGCCAAGCATCACATATATTGTACTTGTTTCTATTACCTGCACATACGTTAAGTAAAGTAACACTTACAGGTACTTGTTACCTGGAAGATCACAGCAACCCCCCCCTCATGCTTTTCTCTCCAGAAAGATGGAGCCATCTTTGTTCAGTCATCATCCAGGATCACCATCTACTTCCTGGTTTGAGATGCCGGCTCAGAGATGGCACAATCATGTACTTGTGGCCAAATCAGCCCCTGCTGCAGCTTTTCTCCTTTGTCATTTACTAAAAAAATCTAATCACTCCAGGAGAGGAGACTGAGAAAATTCTTCCTGCTGTCTGCAGCACACTGAGGGCATCATGTAAGCCAGGTGTCTCCAAAGTTTCTAAACAAAGGCCCAGTTTACTGTCCTTCAAACTTTAGGGGGGTCAGACTGTGGTTAGTGAGAGTAGAAAATGCTCTAGCATCAGTGGGAGTAAATAACTGTGGTTGGTAAGAGGAGTCAGTGGAAGGAATAGTGCCCCGTGGTTGGTGTCAGTGGAAGGAATAGGGCTCCATTGTTGGTGTCAGTGAGAGGAATAGTGCCCCATGGTTGGTGTCAGTGGAAGGAATAGGGCTTCATTGTTGGTGTCAGTGAGAGGAATAGTGCCCCATGGTTGTTGTCAGTGGACCTTGGGGCAGTTTTATGGTAGTCCAACATAGGCAAGGAAATCATAGGGTTTATAAGAAATAATGCCATCAACAAACAGACTTTACTTATGATGGCATGGCATCTTGCTATATGCACACCTGTCACTTCAGGATTTTTTTCTGATGAGATGCACTAGGGAAGGGGGTCTGCAAACTTTCTAAACAAAGGGCCAGTTTAGTGTCCTTCAGACTTTAGAGGGGCCAGACTATAGCCAATGGGAGTAGAAAATGCCTTATCTTTACTATTAGGGGAAGGATTAGTGCCCTATCATTGTTGTCAATGGAAGAAATAGTGCCGTATCCTTGGTATCAGTGGGAGGAATAGTGCTCCATTGCTGATGTCAGTGGAAATAATAGTGTCCCATTGTTGGTGTCAGTGAAAGGAATAGTGCTTCATCTTTGGTGCCAGTGGGAGAGATACTGCCCCATCGTTGGTGTCAGTAGGAGAGATAGTGCCCCATCGCTTGTGTCAGTGGGAGAAATTGTGCCCTGTTGGTGTCAGTGGGTGGGATAGTGCCCCATTTTTTGGTGTCAGTGGGAGGAATAGTGCCCAGGGCTGTGACAAGGGGTGGGCAGGAGGGGCGACTGCCCTGGTCATGGTGGGGACTTAGGGGGTAGTGCTAGAAGGGATGGTTTGGAGGGAGGAAGTTGTTGTACTGGGAGAATTTCTCTTAGGAAGGGGGATTTGGGAGGAAGGATTTGTGCTAGGAGGTGAAATTTGAGGGGGAGGATTAGTGTATACAGAACATTTCTGTATACACTGTTCCCTCACTGTATACGCTGCTCCTCTCCTGCCCCCTCCTTGCACACACTGCCCCCCATTCCCTCCCCCCTACAGAGAGGACCTGTCACTTATATGCTATCACGTAGGGGACTATTGGTCCCCTGTGTGATAGCAATAAAATCATAGGATAAAAAATAAATAAAAAATATACATGAAAGCAGAAAAAATACAAAAAACAATTGAAGCCTCCCCACCCCCACATACACAGACATTTCCGTTTCAGTTCGGTTTGGTTTTCGGCCAAATGCATTCTGAATTTTTGGTATTGGTTTCGGCACCGGAATTTTAATTTCGGTGCACCACTAGAAAAAAACTATATGATGCGCTTGTCGAGATTAAAAGTTTGAAAAGAGTCAAAGTTAGAAATGACTAAAAAGATACGTTATACATTTTACATTGTGATTGCCTATGACTTGTAACCACTTTTTCAAACTTGTCATTTACAGTTCCAACAAGGACAATTCTCAAAGTAACTTTGTTAGTCTGGAAATCCCTATAGCTGCCACGGCCCAGGTAGAGATAAGAGGGTAAGTCTTTTACCTTTTTGTTTGTTTTTTTTTAATCAAATGTGTTGTGTTAGCTTAAGTACAACTTAACTTATTTTGCATGTGTGTTTGTTTGAAAACAACATCTTTAAATTAGGAATACCACTCATTTTAAGAAATTGAATTCAAAGTATATTTAAAGCTTTTTTTTTTCTCTCTTTTTAAAGGGGATGGGGGGGGTGGTAAAAATGCATGAGTTACAATGTCTGTCAGTTTTTTTCTTTTGTAGTTTTCAGCTTTTTTGCCATCTTGTCCCATTGGGGACATTTTTTTACAAAGTGATGGAGTCTTTTTTTCAGCAGGTGTCACAAGAACAGCTGTCCCCAAGGGAAGATTAGTAGTCACCAGGACTAATAGAGAGGGTATATATACCCAGCAGGGACAAAGCAGTCACTCCAGGCAGGAGTTCTTACCCTTCACCACTCCCATACCATCACTCCTCATATCCAAAAAAGTTTAGTTTTACATACTCTTTTAAGTGACAGCTTTCCAATTTCTAGATGTGGTGGCTGCATTAGTTTTCTTTTTTTAGGCTTTTTTTTCTTTTATTTTTATCTGGTGATCCAGACAGTAAGTTTGTTGCTTTTCAAAAGAACAAGCTGTCCTGCAGATGTAGCAGTTACAGAGGTGAGGCAAACCATTTAACACAGGGGTGCTTACAATGATTAGCTTTTATTTAGTCATATAAAACATGTATACCAAAAGAAAAAAAACTGTCATTATAACTGCTTGTGTAACTACATTGTGAGCTGGAATTTTTGGCTTCAATTTGTTAGTGTATCTAAATCTGCTAGTACATCTAAAATTCCCATCCCCCAGGCTGACAATGAACCCCTATTCAGATGAACTGTAAAGGAAGCTGTCAGCACCTGGCCAATCAGCAGCTGGTAGCATATTCCCCACCCCACAGCTGCATGTACACAAAGGGGAGGGGATGCTCATGACATCATTGACCTAGTATGGCCACATAGTCATATCATTGACCTAATGTGGCCATATTAGGGCAATAGTGTCACAAATGTCTTCCCTTTGTTTACATGCAGCTGTGGGTGGGGAATTCCCTGCAAGCAGCTGATTGGCCAGGCACTGACATCTCCTTCTGGAACCTATACTCATTCCTACTCATCAGCAATGGCTCCTCCCTTATCGGTCAACTCACTCCCAAGTTTTATGAAGACATAAAGGCAGCTCCTGTTGTGCTCTTTCCCACAGTCCTCTGGAAATTCTTTGTAATGGATTAAATGTGTATTTGTAAAACAAAGACCGTATATATGTAAACCAGATGTAAAGCAACAGTTAAAATATGTATAAACATAGAAAAAGCAAAAAAGAACCTATTATGGTTTCCCGAGAGCTTGGGTCCACTATAGCTCTCATCTCAGTCCAGCAATCCTGGCTCCACTTTTCACAAAGCTCTCCTAAAGCCTTTTGGTCTGTTCCCACCACTAAAAAGGGCAAATCTGGGGTATTCCAATTCAAATGTACATAAAAAATAAGCAGGATTCATCCAATTTTAAAATCATGCATAAAGGTATAAAGACATGTCCTATATAAATTAAATAAAGGAGCAAATCCCTTAAAACACAGGCTAATAAGATTTACCTAACAGGATATAGGTCCCACGAAAGTACGAGTCCGCATCCTGCTTGATAGCATAAGCAGGCTGCTGAAGGACTGCGTCTGCTTTTTCTCCCCACTCGGTAGACCGCCAGATCCTTGGACTTTGGTGACCTCCCAAAAACGTGTAGCAAATCCAGACAGTATGCACTGACATCACTTACAGTAAAATGAAACAGGTTCTCTGTTCCCTGGAGGAGGATAAAATTGGAGACTTCTGTAGCTAGAAAGGGGAGAGCATTTGTGTTCTGAGAATACTTACAAAGAGTAGGAGAGCTGGCTACATTTTATGTTGTTTTATTGTTTTTATACTTGTATCGCCTCTCTGTCTTCCCCATAAAAATAGGGCCATTGATACATGTCGAAGGCTAATCTAAAACACTAGTTGTGGTGCACTGGGCAAGTGTTGTAAACTAGATTTAAAATGCAATTTATTTAACTGCTTTCCTGCCACCCTATAGCAGAAATACTGCTACAGGTGTACGTAAAATCACATATATATATATGTGCTTTTGCATTTCTGGGTAGGGGGCGCACGCGCGACCTACTCGCACTGCCATTGGCGGCCTGTCCTGTCGATCACCGGGTCCTGACTGGTGATTCCTGCCAGAACCTGGCAATCACCGTGTATCACCGACAGGGGAGAGACCTGTATGTAAAGCTATCCCCACTCCAGTCGATCCTAAACTCAGCGGCTAGACTCATCCACCTCACCAACCGCTCCACATCTGCCTCCCCCCTCTGCCAATCGCTTCATTGGCTCCCGATTGCCCAACGCATCAAATTCAAACTGCTAACTCTGACCTACAAAGCCATTCACAATGCCGCCCCGAACTACATAACTGACCTGATACCCAAATACTACCCTACCCGTGCCCTCCGCTCCTCACAGGACGTCCTATTCTCTAGCTCCCTGGTCTCCTCCTCCCACGCCCGATTGAAGGACTTTTCCAGGACTTCCCCCATCCTCTGGAACTCCCTACCCCAATCCATCAGACTGTCACCTACCCTCCTCACCTTCAGGCGCACCCTGAAAACCCTTCTCTTCAGGGAAGCCTACCCCAACCTTACCTAACACCCAACCTCACCTAACAACTAACCTCTTCCACTCCTCCCACCACTCCATCCCCCACAGCCATCTCCTCCTGTACCACCTTCCCCTCCCTCCTAGATTGTAAGCTCGAAAGAGCAGGGCCCTCGAACCCCTTGTGTATTGTATTGTTACTGTCTTGTCTCATGTTCTGTCCCCCTTGCTACTGTACAGCGCTGAGCATACCCTTTGGCGCTATATAAATACTGTATAATAATAATAATATGTTAACAATACAGATCTCTCCCCTGTCAGCTCCTGCACACTGCTTTGTATGGCTCTACATGGCAAGATGAATGCATAGCTCATGCATGAGGTCTAACTTTTTCATAAAACAGTTACATTTAGGGCATGCAAAAATAGAACCCATGAGTAAAGAACTCACTGGAAAAGAAATCCTCAAGAGAACAAAACTGCAGCTTAAAACACAATTTTTATTGAAAATAACATGACGAGTACAAAAACTGAAAATGCCCTCCACCCTGCACAATAAAATCAAGACAACATTGCCATATAGAGAAAGGCATGCCAGGAAAGATAACTGTCCCAGTTGCTTGTGCTCTCAATTGAATTGTCAAGCCATCAAGTGGCTGGTGACATAACTGATCTGTAGGTGCCATGATACTGCACATATGATCAAAGAGAGGCTAACATGGCAGCTTCCTTGGCTGCAAAGGATAGGAGGGTTTAGTTCTGCTTTAAGTTCTGGGGAAATGTCCTTGAAAAATGCAACTTCCCTTGCATATGAGTAACCTATTTGCCTTTAGTAAATAGACAGCTTTGTGTCAGAGTACATCAAGGTGTCACTGAAACAGGAAATATTGGATAATCCAGCCAATAGGCATGCCGACGGCAAGTGCTTTAGTACAAGAAATAAGAGACCCCATGTGACAGAAAAATCTTGAACAGAAGGTGGCCAATGTCGAGGTTTGGTTTCACTGCTACTATGGAGTCAAAATGAATCCTGCAGGTTCTACATTCAGTCCCAGTGAATTTATGTGCAGATTAGCCAGGGAATAATTTTTCCAAACCTTAATGCACTGCATAGTCTTTGACCAGTAGGCTTAGAGGCAGGGGCAGACTGGGCCGGGGGGGCAATTGGCCCACAAGCGCTCTGATGCCCTGTAAAGAGGCAGCATCACTTCTGCCACAGACATGCCTAAAGGCTTCCTGGTTAAGATGAGTAAAAAGTACCCGCCAGTGTCCTACCGAGTGCGGGATGATGTCAGAGCACAGGCCGCCCTTCCCCCCGTCATGGATGGTTTAAGAAGGGCTCTCTGATAATCCAAAAGTGGGGAAACAGGACAGGCATAGTGTCATTGTATTGGAAGCTGCTGTAAGGAAAGGATAAGGAAAAAATGACAAGCACAAATGTAAATCCTAAGAAAATGCAGATATGTTCTAAGAGGTACAATTTTTCCAGGCCTTTATAGCATCAAAATGCAAAAAAAAAAGTTTTCAACAAGGAACCTGTGGGCAAATTTAACTGCACATGCTATGCGCTCCAACCACTTCTATGGAAAATTACATTTAGAGTTGTGTGCACAGTTATCCTTTAACTGCCCATAACAGGATTAATATTGTCATGACATATAAGTAGAATAATTATATGCATTCCTTCATTCACAAGTACTTCCTGTTGCCTCTGAAACTAAGAATGTTCTGGTCCTATGGCTAGCGCAGTGGCCTCAATGAGGAAGTATGGGGAGAGGAACTAAGTTATTATGGATAACAAGCTACAGTTGTGTAAACTGCCGGATAAAGGGTTTTTTTTTCCTGCCCAACATCACATCAATAAATTCCTTCTCTCTGCCTGATGTCCATACCCCCAAGTTTAGCTTGTATCTTGGCATCCTGCTAAAGCATGAGATACTTTGTGTAGCTGTAGACTTTCTATGACATTGCTTGTAGGAAAATTTTAATTTTAGGAAATCCTCTTATAATCTTATATCCTCTCCTAGATTGTAAGCTCCAAGGAGCAGGGCCCTCGAACCCCTCGTGTATTGTATTGTTACTGTATTGTCTCATGTACTGTCCCCCACTATAATGTACAGCGCTGAGCAAACTTTTTGGTGCTATATAAATACTGTATAATAATAATAATAATAATTATAAAATCTTTGAAGGTTATCACAAAGGAGACATGCTTTACATAGTTACTTAGTTGGTCTGGCTGAAAAAAGACAAAAGTCCATCCAGTTCAAACATTTAAAAAAAAAAGTTATAATCCTATACCCACAGTTGATCCAGAGGAAGGCAAAAAACCCAGCAAAGCATGATCCAATTTTCTCCTGCAGGCTTTGTCATTTATATCTACAGTAATTCATTTGTCATCGATGACTACAGGGTGACATGGAAATGATTGTCTCTGGACTGGCATTGTATTATGCTGTATACAGTATATTCTAGAAAAATACTCCCTCGAATTGTGGGTGTCAAAATAGAGGTGTAATAGAGAAAAAATATGTTAGCATTAGTAGAGTGAAGATTAAGTGGACGTAACGCCCACTTTTCTGAGAAGACAAGGAGGGACAACTTTAAAGAACTATACTCTGCCTACCCCCCCCCCACCAAAAAAAAAATCTAACACTTGTCCCTGTCTTAAAATAAAAAAAAAATATATACTTACTACAGCATGGAGTCCAGCATTGTCTTGCTGAAGCAAACCTCTCTATTTCCGCCCATCTTAAGTTCTGCCATCTTTACGTTTTATCCAACACATGTGCAGATACATGGTGAGTCTCTGCAAGGTCTGCTGGACCTGACAGAGGTGCCCATGGTGTGTCTGCTCACCCCCCCCCCCCTCCCGGTGACAGAGGTTCTAGCTCTTCCTTAATAAAACAAACAAAAAAAAAAGATTGCCTAGATTTGGGCGTTAAAAGGTTACTTGCCCACAGCCCAACCCACTTACAGTCAACTGTCTTTGTTCTTCCGCCACTTCTTCCTCTGGGAGTCAAACTTTGTGTAAGCATCTCAGATGGTGATGATAATAATGACTCCTTGATAATATAGGTATAGTGATATGGGATGTCACATGACCTGATTTTCTAGCGATATGATTGGACAAGCATTTTCAAAAATAGATTAAAACCTCAGAGAGCTTCCTTGTGCTCCATTACAGGTCCATATTGGGAAGGTTTGATGCATGAGCCCTACTGACACTTATTGCATACTGAACTACACTGATCAAACCTTTTATGTTGGAGCCTATGTCTTATTTTTTTAGTGTGTCTCATCCTCCTCACATTATCTTGCCCATCGCCAACTGGGAACCCAAGCAAAAGCCTTCAGAGGAGGAGGAAATCGGGCCGCTGGTACAACACATCTATGAGGTACGACTGACCTTGTCCTGGCCATTTATAGTTGTATCCTGGGGAGGTGAGGCATATCATGCAATGATTTTTCAACCTGATTTTTCAGTGTTTGGTTGATACTGGGGAGCCAACCTCCCTAGCAGTTTCTTATGTCTTAGAGACACTTTTGATGATACCTTTGCACCAAGTTCACGAATGTGCATACATGGTGTACTTATTATGCTGGGCCCCCACTCTTCATGCTGGATTTTCATTTATTTTATATTACGGAAAATGTAACAGGAAGGGCTGGAACACCCAAAATGCTAAGATTGACCAAAGGCAAAGTCTTGAATTATGGTAGGGAAATTATATTGTTCAGTAGGAGACATAGACCAAGCCAGTGGCTGACCCCACCACCAGGCTCCAATTGTTACAAAAATATCTTTTGGGTAGACTGACCCTCTAAATAGGTCTGAGATCATTCATGTGCATTCTAATACTGACTAGTGATTGAAACTATTTTTCCAACAGCTTCACAATATAGGACCAAGTGCAGTTGGCGAGACACACCTTAACGTGGGATGGCCTTCACAGAGCCGAGAAGAATTTCTCCTTTATGTATTTCAAATTGATACAGCAGGACCCATAACATGTCATCCAAGTAGTGCCATTAACACCTTGGAAATACAAGTAGGTTAAAATCTATGATTTATGTTATTTGTTACATTAGTTAAATATTTGAAATGACACTTTTGTTAATTAATTTTAAATTTTAAAATGACCCTGTCACTGTAATTCAACAACATACCTATACTATAAAACATGCCCCCAGCTGAGTCAGAACTCTCCAGTCACCACTGAGCATTACTGCAAGCAAAGCTACAGACCTAAATCCTCAGAGTGCATGTCGGACCTCTGCAGAGAGACTACTGCTTCCACACAGCAAAGGTGTTTCTCTGCAGCATGCCGACAGAAAACAAACCTTTTCTATTCAGTCTGTGACTGCTTTTCAAAAGAAAATGAACTGTAAGACTTTGGACAGTGGATGAAAAACACAAAGGGACCCTGTACAGACATATGATTTTCTTCCTTTGTTCCTTCTTCCTTCCTAAATTGAAAGTTCTGTGTGGTTTTAAAGTGGTTCTAAAGTGTATGCATTAAGATAAAAAAATATTCTGTGAATTCCCCACAGCCCCCCCCCCCCCCCCCTTATACTTACCTGAGCCCATTCCTGATCCAGCTTTGTCCCTCCTCACTGGGCAGAGATTGATAGCAGCAGAAGCCATTGGCTCCCGCTGCGGTCAATCAAATACTGTGACGTAGGGGCGGGGCTGAGACGTCCAGTCTGTGTCGATAGACGCAAACAGAGTGGCTTGGGAATGAGCCTGCATAAGTGCCCCCATAGAAAGCAGCTTTCTTTGGGGGTGCACGCCTAAGAGGAGCAGCCAAGAGCGCAGGCAGGGGACTCAAGAAGAGGAGGAGTGGGGCTGCTCTGTGCAATACCATTGCACAGAGAAGGTAAGTATGACATGTTATCTTTTTTTTTACCTTCTAATAAAATACCAGTCACTTTAAATGTCATACTTTTTAGACTTGTAATATATGGTGTGATAGTTGTAAATCCTATTATTGTTGGGAAAAAAGGGACCCTCTTAACTAAAACAAGAACAAGGAATGTAAGGACAAGGTTCCTGTAACTAAATGATTTTTTTTCTTTGCAGAAAATAAATTCCCCATAGGTTGTTATTTGAAATTTATTTCTATTAGTTCAAGAAATGTTCTTGTTAGCTTAACATCTTGTAAAGGATACCCTTTTCCTAATATATTACTTGAGAATGTTTGCTGTTTCAGAGAGTGTTGGTGAGAATGACACACAGCTCCCTCGCTTCCCTCTGATTGGACATTGCACACTGCCAGTTTTGTATTATTTCCTTTCTGAGATGATACTTTGCTGAGCTTTGTCTGTGTTTTTTCCTTGGCTGAGGCTTGGACCCCCACATGGTCCTATTTGTCTTTCTTTTCCAATGATTTTAATGCACAAGTCATTCTTCTGACCTTCCCACCAGTGGGATTTAGGAGATTATACCCCAGACTTTTCACTGCTGTCCCCTTGGCCAGATGTTGTGCACATGTGAAATGCCTAATCCCATTGGAGGGGAATTCCGTTGCTGTTTATAGACTGTTACCTCATTGTATATTTTGTTTGGTCTTTTATCTTTTATTGCAATTACATTAATTGAACAGTTGCAGAGATATTTCTTTTCCGGGAATATGACACAACTTGTTCATTAGCCACAATATATCTTTTCTTAATAAAAAAAAGTTTAAATCTAAGTTAAAGTGTAACTTATTGCTAGGATAGTGAAATACTAATATTTTGTTAACCACAAGAATATGAGTTTGAGAATACGTGCATATAACTTCTTTTAGTGTGTGTGTATGCTTAAGGGAAAAAAAGTGTTTTAAAGTCCTTTTTGCATTATTATTGTCAGGAATAAAAAACAGATCTAGAAACATAGTCACAAAATAGAATAAAGTACACCTTTTATTGAACAGTGTTAAAAGTGTTGTTACATTTACGTGTCACTAGCTGCTTTTAAAATTTGTTAATATTTTTATTTATTTTGTGACAGTGTTTACAGATCTCAGTTTTTTAACAGGTATAAATAGATCACCGTTTTGGTACCTTATAGATAGTTTGTGCAAATGGTTACCTAGTGAATAAAATATTTTTTTCTCAATTTTGTCATGAATATATTATTATTTGCAAAACTGTAATTGTATCTGACAATTACAGTATTAAACAGAGGGACCATCTCCAAGCTTAAAGTAGAATTTTAGCTAAACCTAACTAGTCTTAAAAATGCTCTCTCCTCTCTCCTAACACCCATACTAACTAACCTGTGTAAAAAAAAAAATGTGTATACTTACCTATTTTCAGTCTGCTTCAATCTGGTCATATGATCCGGCTCCTCTGTGTCAGCCAGCGGCAGCTGCCCTGGAGAGCAGGGATCGCCGACAATAGTTGCACCATGGGAACCTATGGTTGACATCATCAGTCCTGGCTTTCCCAGTTGTTGTCAGGTGCTCTCTCCATTCCCCTGCAGCCCCTGCTGGCTGATACATGGGATCATATGACTAGACCAGAGTAGGCTACAAAGAGGTAAGTATATGCTTTTTTACACACGTTAGTTGGAATGGCTGTTATGAAGGGGTAGGGAGCATTTTTATGACTACTTAGGCTTTATGTGGAATGCTACTTTAAGGTATACAGTATATTGTTAATGAAGCCTCCAGCCTGCATGTGATCATTGTCAGAGCTGACATAGTGATTACATGAATGAAAGCTACTCTGATCGGTTCCTCGTTGTTATTGGGACCATAGTTGTCAGTGATAGCTGGGTTTAGGAACTAGCAGTTGCACAAAGTGTCAGTTGCTATCTCTCAAATGGAGTACGTGATAAAAACAAGGAAACATTTAAGGTTATTTACAAAATGAAAATATAATTTTATGTTTGTCTCTACCAGTTTTAGAGTGTTCTAGGTTTCTGAAGTCGATTGGTAAACCCCCCCCCCCCCCCAAAATAACCCTCTTTGCAAATGGTGTAATCATCGGAGTCGTTCAAAATATCAGGTCCCTTTTTATATTGGGGCTTTACGGTATAATGGATGTTTGCAAATTATATTGCATTTCCCTTACAGCAAAATATCATCCCATCCACAAGTTGATTTCTTATGTGATCACAGGAATGGTTTGTAGCACCAGTATCAACTAGTAGGGGTCTGAAGTCTGCTTGATATGAACATTGCAATCACAGCATTGTTTGTGGATTCCTAGTAGCTTAATTGCTGATTTCTTTCTTTATTGTAGCCGAGTAAAACAGAAGCTACTGCAGGATTAACAGCTTATTTGCGTAACTCCAGCGTATCTCATGCAGTGAGCCGCAGAGATGTGCCTGTGGCCGAGCCCCTCAGACATATACCAAGCCCAACTAAACAGCTGGTAAGTGCTGAACACTACCGCATGTCAAAGAATATGTTTGATTTATTCAATAAAGACTCTAAAGGCACAATTCTACTCTCAGTGACATGATGAGCCTAACCACATTAAAGTGAACCTGTCATCTTAGGTCCTAAACACTGGCTGACCGAACAATGTCTTGTGAAGCCTGCAGGTACTTGTGTTATCCATCAGATCAGTTTCTATGTCCCTGGAGAGATTTGGGGATTTCTGGTTTGGACTATACTCAGGTCCTTGACTTCTTCATCAAGTGACACTTTCATGGCAGCTATTGAAAATACCTGTTTTCTTCAACCTGTATGTGTTGCATACTTGAGTGGCCAGTATATCCGCTGTTTGATAGATTATTCAGATCTCATCATCATTCAAATGTGTTCAACAGTTTTTTTACTGAACAGTTTGCAAGCATTGTGAGAGTCTCTGCGCTCCCGAGCCCTAAGTCGCCAGTGCAATATTATTGTTGGTCCTTGTCTTGCTGCTGGCCAGAAGGAAGAATCTGTGCATAAACCAAGTTATCAAACTTCACAGTTCTGATATTATGTCTCCACAGACCGAACACACTATGTAGTATATTTGGCGAGTTTTCCCCTTTGGATTTCCAGTATACAAAGGTCCTTCCTTCTGGATAATAGACGGGAAATGACCAAAGATAAGGTGATACTGACAGCTCAATAACTGAGCACTGGGGCTCACATAGCATTTTTAAACTTCTGAATAAAAAACAGCTCTATGAATGTTAGATAAGTCTGCAACTCCTACACCCATTGCTATTACTTTTGTGGCACATAGAAATGCAGAGAAAAAGGAAGGAAATCCTTTAAATAACGTTGAAAAATAATAGCTGAAAAAGGAATTTTAGGTATTTTTCATATATTGAGGAAACCATAGACATTTGTCATGGTTGTCCCTTAAAACCTATCCCTTCCTGATGCTATTCAGAAGTGTAATACCAGAGAATTTACTGGCCACTAAGGCTCTGGCATTGCACTGTTGAATGACATCAGGGAGGGCTAACTAGCTCCTGAGGCTTTCCACTTGGGCCGAAGTCCTGTGTAACTTGGGCCTCAAATCTAAGGTCCTCCAGAGAGACAAACAAATGTGCAGAATAACACACCTGCTTACAAGTTTCACAAGATTCCTGAACTTCAGCAGTATTGTTGGCTTAAGCACTATTTAGGTTCTGACGAGCCCACCTCAATGTAAGTATATAAAACTCCCAGCAGTTTACCTATATTATCCATTGAAAGTATCCATACAGAAAGCTTGAAATCTCGCCCACTATACTCCAGTAGGAATTAAAATAGGTGACTGCGCCAAAGAGTAAGAAGCAGGTGGGCAGTGATACATAATCTAAACCAGTGGTCTCCAAACTGCAGTTTGCAGACCTTTGCTTGCCTTTATTCGGCCCTTGGGGCACTATTCCTCTTATTGATACAAGACACTATTCCCTCTACTGACACCAACAGAGGGGCACTATTCATCCTACTGATACAAGGCACTATTCCCTCTACTGACACCAACAGAGAGGCACTATTTCTCCTACTGATACAAGGCACTATTCCCTCTACTGACACCAACAGAGAGGCACTATTCCTCCTACTGATACAAGGCACTATTTCCTCTACTGACACCAACAGAGGGGCACTATTCCTTCTACTGATACAAGGCACTATTCCTTCTACTGACACCAACAGAGGGGCACTATTCCTCCTACTGATACAAGGCACTATTCCCTCTACTGACACCAACAGTGGGGCACTATTCCTCCTACTGATACAAGGCACTATTCCTTCTACTGACACCAACAGAGGGGCACTATTTCTCCTACTGATACAAAGCCCTATTCCTTCTACTGACACCAACAGAGGAGCACTATTCCTCCTACTGATACAAGGCACTATTCTTTCTACTGACACCAACAGAGGGGCACTATTCCTCCTACTGGCAGCAACTAGATTGTAAGCTCGAAAGAGCAGGGCCCTCGATCCCCTCATATTTTGCATTGTATTGGTATTGTTCTGTCACATGTTCTGTGCCCCTTTGTAATGTACAGCGCTGAGCGAACCATTGGTGCTTTATAAATACTGTATAATAATAAATAATATCTCCTTCCACCAGCACCAAGGATGGAGCACTGTTCCTCCCATTACACCAACTATGGGGCACTTTTCCAACCACTGATCCTAACAATTGGCACTAGTCTTCCTATTATTAACAGCAATGGGGCACTATTCTTCCAACTAAAAGCAATGATGGGGCACTATTTCCTCCTCCTACTGACCACAGGTGAAATGTAATTTTCTTACTCCCACTGACCACCAAGCCTAAGGTATTGTTTGTTCCCACTAATTTTCTAACTCCCACTGGCCCCCCTAAAGTCTGAGGGATAGTAAAAAAAGTTTGTAGACCCCCTGGATCTAAAGAACTGCTGACTCACAATATCATTGTCACCCTTGTTATATTGTGCAGTCCTAAAGCACAGCAGGGTAGGAATAGATTGTGAAACCAAGATCCCTTTACAAATATTTTGCCAGATACAACAGTTCCTCCACATGAATAACTGTGTGTACAGCTGCTTGAGTGAAGTTGCCATGTTAAAAGTCACTGAAAACGATTGTTTGAAGAAGTCATTAGTCTTTTTATCCACTTGGAAGAGTTTGAGCTTACACAGGACTGGGAACTATCTGATCAGTGAAGGTCTTCCTAGTTTGTGATACACATTTTTTTCTGTCCGGTAATTAGAAGCACATTGGATTGTATTTTGCCAGATCTCTGGCTTTTTTCTCCCGTCTGGAGGCATGTTTTCTTACAAGAATTCTTGTATAGTAGATTTTGTGATTATTTTCTGGCATGATTTTTTTATTTTATAAATCTGTTGCAGATAACATTGCCATTTACCATATTCGGCGCTAGAATATCATGCAAGAATGTTTTGTGGAAGCATTTGTAAAAATGGTCATGATGCTCCAAATATGAGCTTTGTTCAGCAGCTTCTTAAAGCAGCCCAAGTGGTAACCAAAGAATGGACAGTGTTTTGCTGCTGGATGACCTGTTCAGTGAACACTGAAGATCACCACTGACCACAATCAGAAACACATTTTACTACATTTAACTTTTGTTTTTTTTGTTTGTATTTCTGTACCTCCAGACCTGAGAGCTCCACTGTTCTGCCACACAGCAAAAACGTATCTGGCAGGGCAGGAGATCTGATTTTTCCCTACTACATTTAGGTAACATTACAGGCTATGTCCAGAATCAGGACTTTGACAGGATAACAAAAAGAGAAGCAGTAGACTGATGGGCTCTTCTGTCTGTCACTCTGCTCTCTCCTCCTATCAACATTTTCCTAGTTAACAAATGAGCACTGCACTGATTTGTGTCTTTTACCCATTTTGGGCTTTACACCACCTGACAAGTGCTTGTCTTTCTTGGGGACACTCTGGATGAGATCTCTTTTATGAATTTCTGGGTCTGCACACCTGCTGCGATCATTGAGGGGTTCCTACTCTCTCTTGTTGGATTTTCTATTTGTCAGGAGTCAGGAATAAGACACAAGGGACTGACTCAGACTGCCAGGTTCCACCGAAAAATAAAAATCACTTTTCAACAGAATGACCATTCACGTGATGGATTCGGTTCACAGGCTCTGTGTATAAAGCAGTTATTTGTTGGCAAATGTTAAAGTAGAACTCCACTCATCTGAGCACCACAAACCAAAAATGCTATTTATATTATTTTTATTATTCAAAGAAAACTCCCCCATCCATGTCTCCATGCTTTATTTTGCTGAGAAATCACTTTGAAAAACACCCCCTGGCATTTCTGGCAGTGGCCATCTTAAGTAAGGGCAGATGATTCATTTAGCATTTACATCCTGGAATCTATCTGCCCTTAGCTCAGACATAAACTGAGCTCAGATCCCTCCGTCTCCTCCTGAAGACTCCTGGGATGTATGACATCATTTGCCTAAGCATGGAAGCCAGGAAGTAACTGAAGAAATGTAAAAAAAACAGTTTAATACAAGTAAATATGATATGCTTTCCTATCTATCCACTAATGTTAGCAACATGAGGATGAAAAATAGTCCATGTTGATTTAGAGAGTGAAGTTCCGCTTTAAGTCCAATCCATTTGATTTGTCTCTCATTTGTAAAATATCCATTCAGTTTCTTTTTATGCATCCTCTACAATGCTGACCCATGGGCTAGCCCTGTACTAGGGTTTGTTCATGGTACTGCATTGCAATAATTTACAATTGAGTGTGTGTGTTCACCACAACCCATGGCCGTACACCAGGCATGTGTTAGTGTGTTGTGGTGCCATTTGTTTTGAATGCCAACCCAATACATGTCCAGAACAAACCTTTTTTCATGCATTGAGGTGCATCACAGTCCATTTACTTTTGATGGGCTGCCTAACGTAACATCCCACAATGCTTCTCAGTGCTGAAGAATGCATTGGCTTTTGCACACTGTGTTTTGGTGTGTTTGGGCACTTAATATTTGGTAAAAAAAAAAATTATATACAAAGTAAAAGAACAGGTATGCGTTTAAAACTGTATATAAAAAAAGAAAATAACATAAAACTAACCCCACCTAATATAATTTCCCTTTAAATTAATAATCTACTAATATACTATTGTTTTTAATTGTAATAAATATGTATTAATTGTTGACTCTTTTAACAGAACTGCACTAATGTGAAATGTTTAACCATCTCCTGCAATGTGTGGCGTTTAAATGGCGGTGAACGAGCCCTTATAAAGATCAAATCCAGGCTCTGGGCAGAGACATTTTTACAAGTAAGTTAAAGGAAAATTATCACTGAAAGAATGATTCTTCATACATAGTT